TGATCTGCCCCCTCCCCGCCAAGAATGCAAGGATCAGCTGGGGCTCCACCCCCACTGGTGTGGCCGGGGCAGCAGGGCAGTACCTTCCAGCCCCGCGCCGGCTGCCGGGCCTCCGGGGGTGCACGTATAGAGCGGCCCAGGCCCGCTGTAGGGTTTATGCACCGTCAGCACGTTGGCAGAGTCGATCTCACCCGAAGCCAGGAACCGTGGCTTGGGGGGCAGCACCACTGGTGGCGAGCACACGTATTCCTGGGGGAGCAGCGACGTGATTCCGCGGACCAAGGGGTACTTGGGCAGGTCGAGGCCCCTTCTGTAGTGGGGCCCGGGCTGCTCTGCATCCTGAGTCGCCGGCCCGGCTTTCAGCCGTTTGGGAAGCGGCTCTCCAAGCTCCGGACCAGCGCCACCCGTGCTCCGGCCACAGAAGTAGTCTAGTCCCGGGGGCACCCACAGGCTGTCGTGCTTGGTCGGGAAGTCGGCTGAGCCGTTGACGGTGCTGTTGCCCAGCGCGGGCTGGGACACCGAGACCCCCGGGGCTTTGAACTTCGTCTCTGGCCTCTTCGTTTTCTCTGGGGCAGGAGAAACTCCGCTTTTAGAAAACATCTCTGAGGGCTGCTGCCTGGCGGCAGGAGCTCCCTGCGCCCCGACGCTGGGCTGAGGCCTGTGCGACTTCAGGTTATTGGGGGCTAAAGTGCTAGAGTCAGTCCCTGAGGTCAGAGGAGCTTTGCCTGGCCCTGGAGGGCCCGGCTTCCCCTTCTCCGACGGCAGGGTCTTGGATTGGGCCGGGAAGGCGGGCTTGGGCTTGGGCTTGGGCTTGGGGAAACTGGACAAGGGAGGCACATCTTTTCCCAGGAGAGCCGGCGGACAGCCAGTGCGCCTGTTTCTAAGCCAAGACTTGTTTCTACAGTTTTTGTGAACGTCGGGATTGTATTTATGCTCCAATCTCTGGTGCATCATTAAAACTTCTGGATAAAAGGTCTTAAAGGTACAAAATGGGCAGGTGATACTTGGGATTAAACTCTTGCTCAAAGAAATTGCTGGGCAGCTGTGAAGCGCGAGGGATAGATTTAAAGGTTTTTCTTGACAGTCCATGCCAGGCTTCACTCTGCCATCGGGTGCCACCTCTGCCACCTTCTCTTTGAGGCCGACTTCGGCCTTCCAGGCAGCAGGGGCGTCTGGGTGAGGATGAGGCAGGATGCCCACTTCTGTTCTGCGGCCAAGGCTACTGGCCTGAGGTTCTGTGGCTGGTCTCTTCTTTAACATGTCCAAATAAGCAGGGGCAGAGTTTCTGCTTGTTGTATCAGCACTATCTCCAGTTGCATTTTTATTGAAATCCTGAGTATCTTTGTGTACTGGCGAGAGGACAGCACTGCCCAGAACATTCTGAAAGGCAGGGGCCATCCCCTTAAGTTGCTTGGCAGGTGAGCTGCCTTTCACATCTTTGGCACCATCGAAAAATCTTTTCAAATTTTTGGTTTGCGCACTGTCGGCGGTGAGTAGTGCATCTTCCGTCTCCTGGTTTTTCCCATCGCTCTTGACCTCGGCGGCAACGTCAACCTGCTTGTCTTTGTGATGTCTCTCCAAGTGATACCGCAGAGAGGTCTTCTGGGCTGCAGCATAGTCACAAAATTCACATTTGTATGGTTTTTCACCTAAAAGAAGAAATGTCACCATATTACAGAAGTTTGTGAAAAGCATCAAGAGAGATCTTTGGAAACTTGAAGAATCTAACACACAATACAGGGTTCTTTCCTTTTCGCCCTCACCAACTAACCTTCACACCTAGGATTCCTCATGAGGTGTTTGCTTTATCATGCTTAGTATACTGAGTATTTGAGCATGTGAATACATGTGTTTAATTTTAAAAATAAAGTAGCAACACTTTAAACTTCTTTAATCTTCATAATAGCCCTGTGGAAGTGAGTATTATAGTCCCACTTCTATAGCTCAAAAAAATGGGCTCAGAAAGGTTAAATAACTTGCCCAAGGTTGCAGAGCTAGTGAGAGGAAGAGATGAAATTCAAGCGCACACAGCTTCCTACACCACTGTTACAGCTGCTTCTACAATCTAAAGAAAAGACTATAAAATATATTCCCATTTCATTCTAAACCATAAAAATACAAATAAGCTGTGGGATTAAAAGACTTTAATTAAAGGCCCTGGCCGGGTAGTTCAGTTGGTTAGAGCATCATCCCGATATGCCAAGGTTGCAGGCTCAATCCCTGGTCAGGGCATATACAATAATCAACCAATGTCAACAGTAAGGTGATTGCCAAAAGGAAGGAGGTGGGGGGAGGTAGAAGAGGGTAAATGGGATAAGTAGTGATGGAAGGAGACTTGACTTAGGGTGGTAAACACACAATACAATATACAGATGATGTGTTGTAGAACTGTATACCTGAAACCTACATAATTGTTAACCAATGTTACCCCAATAAATTCAACTTAAAAATAAAAAAATGCATAAATAAGTGAAACAACAATCAGTGTTTCTCTCTCTAATAAAAATAATTTTTTTGAAAATACATTAAAGAGGTTTGAAAATGAGAGGATATGGTCATTGGAAACTAAACAGGAAACTAACTTCAAAACAGGAACAGAAGAGTTCAAGTTAAAATGATACCAAAAGAATTAAAATGACAGCTGCAATCTGCATGCTACATGTTTATTCTTTTTTTATTCAATCCTCACCTGAGGATTTTCCCATTGCTTTTCAGAGAGAGGAGGAGGCAGGGAGAGAGAAACGTCGATGTGAGAGACACATCAACTAGTTGCCTCCCACACATGCCCCAACCGGGGCTGGGAATCAAGCCTGGAGCCCAGGTACGTGAACTTGGCTGGAATCAAACCCAGGACCCTTCAGTCTGTGAGCCAATGACCTAACCACTGAGAAAACCGGCTACGGCATGCTACACGATTATTCTTTTTTTTTTTTTTTATTTAGCTCTTTTTTTTATCTTTATTGATATCAGAGAGAGGAAAGGAGAGGGAGAGAGAGAGAGAAACATCAATGATGAGAGAGTCACTGATTAGCTGCCTCCTGCACACCACCGAAGGGATCAAGCCCGCAAACCCGGGCATGTGCCCTGACCGGGAATCAAACCCTGATCGCCTGGATCCTAGGTCGATGCTAAACCGCTGAGCCACGTCCGGCCAGGCTACATGTTTAATCTTAAACTAGTCCAAGGACCTACCAGATTATCTGAACAACCAAAAAAAGATCAAGACACAGAACACTGCATCATAATTCTTTTGACTAATACATCATTTTAAAAAATCTAAAAAGTTCCTTACCTGTATGCGTTCTGAGATGAATATTGAGGTAATAATTTGAACGGAAGAACTTTCCACAATAACTACATTCTCTTGAGGATGTCAGATGCTTTATTTTGCCTCCATCGTCATTTTTATCTTAAAGCAGAAACAAAAATATATAAGACGACAGTTCAAGTACATGAGTAAGGTGAGTTGACTAAAATGTTCTTGATCAAAACATTTTTGGAAAGCATAAAGTAACTTTTATATTAGTGTTGGGTAAACCAAAAAGGCTAAAAACACACCAAATGTTGTTTTGAGGTTGTCTGAAGTTTTATAATACATGTGCACTTTTTCATTTTGTTTGTTTTGGTGGGGTTTTTGATTACAGCGTTTGCTGCTAAAGACTGTTTTCCACTTGTCAGTCACAGGAGAGATCACGAACAGAGACGCACGGGCAGCTCCTCTCAACGTGGCCGAACCGCTCCGGACCTGGCCAGCTGGAGCTGGACCTACACAAACAGGCTGAACAACCGGCTTCTTCAGAGCGAGTCATTTAGGAAACGGAGCCAATATACATCGCCAATTTTCCCAACCACCGGGGAAAATAAGTTTTTTATCTTAAGATTGGGGCAAGTTACCACTAGAGGGTAGCAAGCACAACTTAATCTTCTCAGAAAATAAAAGGTTTGGCTCAGGAAAACACCTAGGAAAGTTTGTCAACATTTAGCAACATTCTGGAAAGCAGATTGTATTGTCCACAGCATTAACATGCTGCAATTTATCTGACAAATCACAATCTGTCCTCAAATTACAACGCCTTCAACTTTACACTTCAATCTCAACAGGCTGATCGGGACAGTGTATCTTACATGCACCAGAGCAAAGGTCCACTGGGGACACAAATTAAAGGGTGGTTACACGTCACACAACACCAGCTCTCCAAGACAATTAGACATGCTGCAGTTAAAATGCCCGCTCGCCCAAAAGTGAGTGGTTGAGTTTTAGATCAACTTCCTCTTACTGTAGCTCATCTTACATGCAATGACAAAAGAGTGGGGAGAACTCTTAAAATTTAGCGTAACTAAACTGGTCAGTTTGCCTTGAAAAACTTATTTCCAATTAAAAGGCTTCTCCACTGCTCCTTCCACATTTCTTTCTCTATTATTTATAGCTTACTGACTTTTAAGAGCAGCTTACAAGCCAGCCCTCGGTGAGCCTCCAGGTACAATAAAGACAGAACGGTACACTCTGTCACCCTAAGTTCCCCTGAGGAAAATGTACCCACTGTTAACCCTCTGAACAACTCTACACATGCTAAACTAGCAGACAGCACAGCCCTGGATCTCAAAAGGTGCCTTGAGGACTTTAAAAAATATCACACGAACAACTATTATCAAACACACTTCTAAAAGCTGAAAAAATATTATTTTGCTTTTTAATCTTCTTAAAAGTAAATCTAAAGAAAGGTAGGTTGATAGTAAATTATAATAAGCTCAATCTGACCAGAAGATGACATCAGAATACAGGGTGGGGTAAAAGTAGGTTTACAGTTGTTCAAATGGAAAGTAATACATTAACTAATAAATAACACAAGAACAAACTGTTTGGTGTAGTCACAACTGTAAACCTACTTCTGCCCCACTCTGTATAAATCCAGGAAAAACAAATCCCTACATACGGAACACCCAGCTCTCCTGACAATCACACACAACTAGCCAAGTTTGTTGCTGGGCCTGTACCTTATCGCAATTTCCTACTTCCAACTATGTGTCAGGATTTATGGTATGTTGCATCACATCCAAAAAGTTATGAAATGCCTTTGTTTTAACAGAAGGACATGAAATGTCCACATCTACCTGGCTGGTTGCTGCTCTTTTCAGCATCACCTTTGATTTTACAGTGCTGTCCTTTTAAGGACTGAACTCTTCATAAATAGACTATTGAAATTATCCTTGGGAGGTGGAAGACAAGGAAAATTTCAATGAACCAATTTTGCAAACAGGGAAATCAGGGCAAAGAAAGGTTAAGCAACACATAATCGGTCACAAAACAATGCAGTGGCAGAACCAGACTGAACCCGGGTCTTGGCGCTCCCGGCTATTATGGGTATTCTAGCTGCCCAACAACCAAGCCCAAGTCTTCCACCAGGTTCTTCTGCCCACACCACCTGCTGGCAGAACATGGACTGGCCATTTCATTTCTCTCAGGACACTGGGACATCTCCGGGGCCTGATTATTTCCCCATGACCACATGACCCTGAACAGTACTGACTCTGGGGGAAAAAAACAGAGGACGAGAGGGCTGAGTTTAAAGCTTCTTATGATGTCACTAAGACACCATATGATGTGTTTTCTGGACTTCTGAAAACTGAGGATGGTAGCTCTCTTAAGTGCTAGGTTTCCTGTGTCCCAGGAAAACTCAAACCAGTCTAAATATTTGATATGAAAACCACAGCTCTCTCATCCATCATGTGATCAGAAAAAGAGCCGGGCCCCAGCTTAAGAGGTGGAGGTCCAATTACGATCTGGCCAAACTTGTCCTGTCTCATGCACAGCTCTTGGAGACATCCACAGTCAAGTTACAACAAAAGGCAGTATTTGTTTTAACCAAAAAACACTTTTCTAAACGATGATGTTTCTCTAAAACTAACTCAAGTTCTCATCATCCACTTGCTGGAATTTTTAACTGTTTTCAAGCAGCAAAATTCTTTACTCAAGCAAAATATGACCCAATGAATGAGCAGCTCTGGATGAGGTGAGGATGGGCAGGACTTCCCACAGAGTGAGTCCTCTGCCCTGGATAATGCCCACTGGGACTCCAGAAACATGTCAACCAGCATTCAGTGGCAGCTTCCAGTTCCCATAAGTGTCATTAGCACATTAAAATCTGACTGAGCAAATGAGATTTCTTAAAGATATCTTTGGCGTGTTCCTATTCCCTGTATTTTACAGACACATTTAGTTTCTGAGCTAACTTAATGAACACTAGCCCCAGACGTAACGGACAGGACACCAAGCAGCACCAAGTGGCGTCTCTGACAGGAGTATCCTTGCTCTGGTTAACCATCACTCTCAGTGCCTCTCCACCACTGGAAATCAACCTGCAATAATTACACGAGAGCTGGGCCTTGACAGATAGGGAAGGAACTTCCCTATTTTTATGGATAAGATCAGGAATGCCAACAAAACTTAAGCGAAGGCCAGGGTCTCAACCCTGTGCTACTGACATTTGGGGCTGGATCTTTCTCTGTTGTGGGGCTGTCCTGTGCATTGTGGGATGTTTAGCAACATCCCTGGCCTCCACCCACTGGGTGCTAGCAGCACCTACACCCCCACACAGTTTGACAGGCAAAAATGTCTCCAGACACTGCCAGATGTCCTCTGGGGCAAAAATCAACCGTTAAGAAGCATGGCTTTAGGCTGATGCACAAATTAAAATAATGCGTGTCCTTTGTTAGCAAAATATAAAATCACGGTATTTTCAAAACAGGAAGGAATCTTGATTGATAGGCCTTTTAACTCAACCCTGAGGGGGTTAAAGGACTTTCAAGAGGGTGGTGCCCAAACCGCCTGGACTCAAAGCCCCCCAGAACCCCTCCGAGCTGCCCGTGCCCTGCAGAGAGCCGGCACGCAGCACCACTTACCCAAATGGAGGCCTTCGGGAAGCCCGTCCTCAGATCCATCTTCAGAGCCACCTTCTCGATCGGTGGCTCCATTTTCCTCCAGGGTGACAGCTAGGTCCGGAGAACATGTCCTCGGCTGCCTGCCATCCGCAGACATGGTCGGAGACTCGGCGTCCGCCCTCCGGTCCTTCTTGTGGACTCTTGAGTGCAGGACCAGCTGGTGGTAGGTTCTGAACGCCTTGCCACACTCGGAGCAGTGCGTGGGCTTCTCACTCTTACTGGGCAACTTGGGGTCCGCGTCCCCAGAAGGCACTTCACCATTGGCGTGTCTAGGCTTCTCCTTATCTTGAGCGAGGCCTGTACAACCACTCTTATTGGTTCTGGACTTTCCAGAACCTTCGGGGTGGCTTTTACTCACATTCCAAATTTCTCCAAGCTCTTCTTTGTCAGAATCATCATTGTCGGTGCTCCCTTCCTGCCCGGGCTGCTCCTTCACCTCCCGGCAGACCGCGACTTTGCCCTTGGTGGCCAACTGCCAGGCCTGGTAGGTGGTGAATGGGTCAAGCTGAGGTATCCATCTGGCGGGCTGCTTTGCAGTTTCAGGGTGAGCTTTGGGTCTCAGGTTTAGGAACTGTAGGAACTCATCTCCCGGGGCTGGCATCCCTGCCTGCTCAGAGTCTGCTTGGGGACTGTTGCCACCGGAAGCTGTGTCTTTGGTGTGCATCTTCCTGTGATCAATTAGACTTTCTTTATTTGGAAATAGGAAGCCACAAACCATGCAGATTTTGTAAGGAGAGGAGATGCTCTCAGCGGCTTGGTCCTGGACAACCTCGTTGATGGTGGCCGGGCTCTCCAAGCCCTGCTGCAGCTTGCTCTTGGCCCCCGACTTGCCATTGTGCGTTCGCATGTGGTTCTTCAGAAACCAGGGCTCCTTGAACCTCCGTCCGCACACGTGACACCCGTAGGTGAAAGAGTCCTTGTGTTTTTTCATGTGGATCTCCACGTCGAAAGCTACTCTGAATGTCTGCCCACACACTTCACAGCTCAAGTCTTCATTTTCTTTGCCACTTTTATCCTTGGGGAGTTCTGCTCGCACCTGACTTTTATCAAGAGGACTGAGATACTCTGCTTCAACACGCAGAACTGCAGGCTCACAGAGGATGGGCCGGTGCTGCAGCAGGACGTGCTTATTGAGGTCCTCAGAGTGGGTGAAGGTCTGGCTGCAGAACATGCAGTCCAAGGGCGTGTAGCCTTCGATTTGGATGATGTTCTTTTCTTGTGTGGCTCTGAAAGGAACAGCGGCTGTCCCTTTTATTGACATGGCATCATCTAGCTCCATCTGGCTGCCAAGAGAATTGCCAATAACTTCCGGCCCATCCATATATACTAAGAGGGATTGAGTTGGCATGTTTCCTGTCACTGTAGGACTGTGTATAAAATAAGAATCTGATTGAGGAATTTCTGGACTTAGAATAAGGCCACTTGTAAGACTTGTCACTCACACCCCCAGCAGTCCTGGGCTTCAAAAACGAGAGCAAATATTTGTCATAAAAATTCAAAAGAAAGTGTATATTCCTCTAACTTCTTAACTTCAGAAGTCTTAGGAAGCTCAGTGATAAAGAGTATCACTGGTTCTTTCCACAAACGGACAGACAGACTTCCCAATGCTTTGATTCAAATATGAGTCAGGCCAAAGCATTAGTTCTCTGTCTCCATTGAGTGACCAGTGGAGCAAGAAGTCAATTCCAGCAACCTGGAGACAAGATTTCCAAAACCTAGAAGGAAAAACAAACGGTTAGCTAGAGTCCGAGAAGAGAGAAGGCTGGGTGTGTGGTCACAGGGACCTTTTCCACATAGCAGAGAAGGCGCCTAAGTCAGCTGCTTGTTAATTAAAAACGATTTCATTTTATCCAATCAGCACACCTATTAAATCACTAGAATTTCATCCAGGTAAGAAACTTAAAACATGGTGCTTTAATGGTCTAAACCCAAAATGTGAAGTTTCAGGACAGAAACTGTTCAGTTCAGCTGAACACACCTAAAATGTGGCTAAACACACATCTGTATCCTTGTAAACAGCCTCTACAAATCTAGAGACTGTAAGAATAAGATCTAGAGACTGTAAGAAAAAATAAGATGACAAAGAGAGCACTTTAGGTAGTATTTTAAAAACCAGAGCTTCAAGCTGTCTTATATACAAACACACAAGAAGCACACATGCCTAAAGCACACTGGGGGATTACACATTCACAGAGGACAGCACAAAATAGGGACCTTTCCCAAAGCTCCCGTTCAAGAAACAAAGAACGAAATACAGAACACTTCAGAGTGGTTGCTCATCTTGGCCAAGGGGAACCTTGAGAAATTCTGGTTCACTGGACACTGGACACCTCAATCCACTGCCCAAATCCAAGTTACCTTTTGACAACTCTGCCTTCAACAAGCATCAGGGAAGGGCTTCCTTTGTCCAAGCAACAAGGAAACATACACACAATGCTACTTTGTGAATGTACACATTTAAAATGAAATCCTCAACATAGCTGGCTCAGCATGCCTTACTTAGTGTTAAGTCAGAAAGTAGACCCTCTCATTTTTACCCCCCTTGGCACTGTACACTCACTCTGCAGGCTTTGACTTAGAAGCCAGTTTTCACTGGGAGAAGAGAACCTCTGAAGCCAACCCCCCACCTTATGGCAAGCACAGAACTGAAGTCAGTTAATTCTACCCATGAAAACAAAAAGGCACACACACTACTCCCACCACAGGCAGTGTTAAGGAAAAAAGTTTACTTTCCTTCTCTCCACTTCCTCAAAGGGCAGGCTCAGAGCAGCCAAGGAAATATTTCTTCACATTCACAAAGAGAAAGTGCTCAGATTCCTTGTTATCTTTCGTTTTGAAAAAACTAAACTTCAAACTTTTCTAAATAAGACTGCAGATCAAAGATCAGGGTAAAGAAAAAATGCACTGAAGTACTTCGTGTTAGTTCCTTAGTCTTTTGCTGCCATCACAATGGAGCATAAACCCCTGGACTGACTACCAGCTTGGAGATAAAAGAACATCCCCGAAGCCCGAGTTCTAGTCCAGCCTGAGTCATAACCTTAAAGTGGTCATCACCACATCACCTCTACTGTGGTGTGCTTCATGCAGATGGAATAATTACAGGATCCCCTCAGAGTTCCAAACTTCTATGGTTCTGGGGACAGATCTATATTTATGGACAGATATAATCAAAAGAGTATTTAATGACTATACTAATTAAGATAGTAAATGATATCTGGATATGTGACTGATCATTAAGGTTTCTATTCAGAAATTTACTCATCCAACAAATATTTACTGAATGCCAGTATCCCAGGTAATGTTTTAACTGAAGAAATTAATAGCACGTACTCTAGAAAAGCAGTTCCAAAAACTCTGACAATACTGCTTTCACTGGCCAACAGCTACATGAGAAATAAGAGAAACAACTCGATGAGTTCATAATTTCAATCTGAATAAAGGCTGTCCTCTATTTGAGCTCTTTTCTACATTTTGGTGCCAAAATAACCTTCTTAAAAAACAAAGGACGCAATAGCAAATAGTTGAGGTGTTATTTTAATGTCCTAATTTGGCAAAAATCAAAGCTAGTCCCCATGTCAAATCTCAGCATTATTTTTTCTTTTTTAAAGAAATTTCACTGTCTGTGACATTTTTCAGTTTTGGACAATTCCACTTTTCTAAAAATAATCTTTCCTCCAAAGACACAACCCTACACTCAGTCTCTGGATTAGAAGCACAAGGTAGGTGTCCCTATTACTTCCCACCCAGGCAACGGCAAAGGCTTGAAAAGCAGCTTGGAAAGATGGGTTAGTTTCCATTTTTATCTCTGAAATGTTGAGTATCTGGGTTAAGTTATCATCAGCTCTAAGGGAAGACCAAGAGGACTGATTGGTAAAGGAGGCAGTGTTAAAATCTTAGGAGAAAGCTTTCAGTTCTGCGGGGAGGGGAGAGGGGCATAACAGGCCAGGGCCTAGAGTTGAGGGGAAGGTGGCCCAGGCCAAGCCCTCAAGGGTGGGAGGTGGGAAAGGTCACCCTCCTAGGGAAAACCTAAGCTCTCCTTCCTCTGGGGAAGCTTCTGAGACAGGTTCTGACAGTCAGGAACTTGACCAACTGTCCCAAGCATTAGGTGACCCTGGCTCACTGCAATCCTTACTACTCGCCCAAAAGAAATGAAAGCCCTGAGCCATACCTTTAAAGGTCCTAGGAAAGGAGACCCTGTGGGCCTTGTGCCCCCCCACCACCACACCCTCTAGGAACAGAGACCCTGTGGGCCTTGTGCTCCCCCACCCCGCCCTCGTGTCTAGAAGGGGTCCCAGGCACAAGGTTAGGTCCTCAGTAAACACCTTGTCCAAGCAATAAATAAATGAATAAACACTACATAATCAGTACAGGCACAGAGTCAGTATGGGCATGGCCATGGTCACCAACCACGCCTGAATGTTCCTCAGAACTTCCACATGGCTATCTATGGCTGCCATCTAAATACCATTCTCTGCAATTTCAAGAGTGTAGTTAAAAAAATCACTTAACCATACCACAAAGTTGACCAGCACAAGCAATCACTTGGGTTTATAACCACTCAACTCACAGGCCCACCGAAACAAAAATGCAAGCCACCCTTGGGAAACCTGATAGCAAATGCCCTCAACTCCTGCCTTAGAAACTATACACAGACAACAAAACACTTCCTTAAACTATAAATCAATAACTACATGACTTAAAACCAACCTACTAAACAAAAATCTTTACAGTGATAGTAATAATAAAGACTTTCTAATAACAGAACTTAGGAGAAACAGACATTCTAACCTAATTACTGTTAATAACCACCCACCAATTCCAACTGAAGGGGTGTGGGTGTGCACAGCCTTCCCAGACCATCATTGCTCTATAGGTGGAACACACAGAAGTCACAGAATGGTGACTCTTGATAATGTCAATTGTCTCCCTTCACAAAGAACTGGAGGTGGGAGGGAAGCTACTCGAACCCAACACCTAGGGTCTAAATGCTTTAGTGTACAGAAAAGTGAGCATTCCCAACACACTAAGCTCCTGAAAGGCACTTGCAAAAATGTTTTTCAATGTTTAAATTTTTTTTTTCTAAACCTTTACTCAGGTAAATAACAGCACTTAACCTTTAGCCATATACCCCAAGGCACCCAGGCAAAAGGTTCTTCAGGATAACCTTACATTCTGAGAGAAGAGGGTAAGGTTTTCATTTATATTGTGATTACTTACATTTTTTTTAATTTAACACAAAATAATCTTCCTAAAAAAGTAGGAACCCTATTGCTAAAACTGCCTGAAATAAAAGTCTGATGTTCTTTAGGTGATTTCTTCTGTGTTTTAGGTCATTTCTTCTAGGGTTTTTTTGTTGTTTTGTTTTTAAGATATTCATTTGTGAGTAACGCTATTGTGAATTCTGCCACTCCCTATAGATCTTGAAATGAGCAAATATCACACATTGAAAAGCACAATAACTTGTGCTTAAGCAAAACAAGTCAGAGGTAAATGCCACCATGCTGACAATTGCTGTAACTTTTAAATACTGTTCTTTATGTGCAGATGGACCCAAACTGTTAACCTCTGAGGCAGCACAGCTGTCCTTCACTAGCAGGTACCTTATACTTCTTGATATGGACTATTCATTACCACAGAGCATGGAGCAATGAGTACTCATGGTCCTCAAAAACTGTCCAAAACACATAAAAATTCTATTTATAGCCAAGCAATGTGAAGTACCCAACAAATCTACTAGGCCCCCCTTCCCTAGTTACTTAAGTGCTCAATTAAATGATCATTAAAACATTCAACCTAAACAAACTGCTAGTCATTGACCAATTCATTTGTGCCTTTAAACTGCAAAATCATCTCCAAGATCTGGTTAGGAAACTTAATTTTTCTAGAAGTTTGCCCTTCCATATTTTGCACATACTATTCTTTCCTAATCTGACTAGTGAAGAGAATTCTACATAGTAATCTACAGTAGCAATCAAAACCTGTAACTTGAAATCCTTCAACACTATTTCAAGGCAATCACCAAGGTCACACCCAGGAGCTACAAGGTCAAACCAACTTTCCTAATATGGCGGTGGAAAGATGTTTAAAAGTTAAGTGAAAGAAGATTAAAATACTCAAAGTTGATATTAACATCCCAGCCTAAGCTATTCAAAAGCAAATGAGAGTTCAAAGGCTGAGCTTGGGAAGATCCTACAGGACATAAGTCTCATTTTCTTGAAATAGGATTAGAGACCAAAGTAGTAGTACTATAAAATGTAATCACATTCGCATTTTCTAATGTGATGATTAAAAACTCTGCCTCAGGAAAAACAAATAAAATAAAATTTTAAAAACTCAGCCTGATTCATTCCAAATCAATTAAGGTCAATTAAAGGATACTAATATGAACTTAAGCACCATGTATTAGTGTTAGTTTCAGTATTATCAGTTTTAACAAATACTGTGGCCTGTAAACTGGCTTTTAAATTTTTCATCTTGTCCTGAAAGAGAACTATAAGGGAAATGGGTTTAAAAAAAAGAATTGTAATTAAGCAAGTTAAGCACTGCTATCAGTGAGTTCCTATTATTAAGACTTAAACAGTACTACCTTAACATTTTGAAAAGATTTTAGAATAACTGCACCAGAGAGGGAGTGAATTCAGAGAACTAAAAAAATTATTTTTACCTGTATTCTTTAACTCCCTACAAAGATTTACTGAGTGTATACATGTACATACACACATATATTTGTATATATACAGATATACCAATAACTTCAAGCATTATACCACACCACTACCCTACATACCTACACCTCTTTTTCCACAAGGACAAATGGTGACTATTCTTAATTGTACCCAATTTAACAAAGTTCAGATTAAATATAAATAGGGCAATCAATGCCTTTTAAGGCATGAGAGGGGTCTTTACAGACCTTTAAATACTCCCCTCCCTGTCTTTGCAGAGAGCAAATACTACAGTTGTATGTTGGCTCTTTTAAATCACCTGTTTGCTTTCAAAATTAAGGAGAAAAGTCTCTTTTCAATTACATACAGTCAGTGTTCAGTGGATTTATATACTGAACAACAACACACATAATCACTGTTTAAGATGAAAAACACTTCTGGTATAATTGAACTGTTTTTGAAGTTATCCGGATTTGATACAGGTAGGGAAAAACAACTATTTCTCCTAATGCTGATTCAAGAACAAAACCTATCTGGGCTCTCAATCTCCAAGCCTTGTAACTATAAATTTTGAATGATTTTAAATTCAAAAGGCTTTTTTCCTGACACTAGAAAATAACAAACACCAATACATAAAACACTACAAGAACCCATTAAAAAAAGCCAGCTCTTCTCTGGGAAGAGGAGGGATGTATAGGTCAGAAACAAATTTTGTAAAGCTC